GACAGCACCCCCAACAGCGTCCTAACTCAGCCACAGATCATGGGTACATGGGTACCACAGATGGTGCCTGGCACACTCAGGGAGGTCCCATGTGGATCAGTTGTGCAGAGCACACACGGAGTCCTACAGCCACTCCACTGCCTGGCCTTACTGGTGTCTTCTTGTAACAGTTACCTGTCAGCATCCCAAACATTTGAGTGAATTCTGACCCATCTGATCCTTGGTTACAATCTTGGTTTTCCAAGGGAAAAAAACTAGACTCCTAAAATGAGTAACCTGCAAAAGACAGTTTTCATTTTCAGGCTTGGCCACACAGCCAGATTGGAAAGAGAAAAGAAACATGCCTTTTCCCCCTGATTATAAAAGTAATTTTTAAAAAGAATTATTTATTTAATTTAATTTATTATTATTATTTTAATTTCCTACAAAGCATGAACACCCACCATTGAGAGAGACAGAGAGAAGGAAAGTGAGAAAGCAAACTGCCAGGTCCAGGACTCGAATTGCAGTCAGCCATGTGGGAGTCCAGTGCCTTAACCACCATGCCACTTGCTGGCCCCTATAAAAGTAATTAAATTAATTAATTAAAATTTTTTTCACATGAGTTTTGCCAGAGAAAGACAGAGAGAGGGAGAGTGAGAAAGCAAACTGCTAGGTCCAAGACTCGAATCGGCGTCAGCCATGTTGAAATTCCAGAGCCTTTACCACCATGCCACCTGCTGGGCCTATAAAAGTAATTTTTAATATCTGAAAAATAGAGTAAAGAATAAGGAGTAAAATAAGCTAGTTCTGTCCTTCAATGCAGGGATAACCGGCGTTAAACTCCTAGTGTGTCTCCTTTCTGTCTTTTCTCTGTGCTGAGGGCACATATATGCTCAGCTTGGTTGGGTTCACGTTGTCTATACTGTCTTAATACCATCTCAGTATTTTCTTTTTTTTTAATTTTATTTAACTTTTATTCATTATTATCATTTTTAATATTTCCAGAGAGAGAGAGAGAGAAAGGGAAAGTGAGAAAGCAAGCCTCTGGGTCTGGGATTCAAACGATGGTTGGCCATGTGAGAGTCCAACGTCCGTAACCACCGTGCCACCTGCTGGCCCCCATCTCAGTATTTTCTCATCTGCCTCATTTAAAATACCTTCAACACCAGATGCGTCCCCAGCTCGAGCTCCCTTCCTCTTTCTGAAAGGTAGTGTGCACCAGTGATTTTAGTGTCATGGACACCAGGGCCACAGGGGAGTACAGAGCAGGGATCTGAAAAGACACTCGGAATTCATCAGCAGAATTGGTGGGAGCAGTTAGGGGATATGGGCACCGTAGAGCCAGAACAAGACTACACCTATAGTTTGTGACCACTGGTCTGCATGTGTCCCGGTGTCCTGTGTATTGACAGCCTCTAACCGGGAGCTCATCACTGATGCCTTGTAGCCCTAGACAGAACCAGGCCTATGGTCCCATCCCTTACATGAGGGTCTTGTTTTGGGATTTTTAACTATTTGAAGAACATCTTTTTTTTAATTAGAGAGATTTTTGCTATAGGGCACGTGTACTCGCTGGAGAGATAGAGAGAAACAGAGACAAAAAGCGAGAAATCATCCCTCCAGGGATGCCATGCTGCAGTCCCTCCTCCTCCATTCACCTCTTGGGATTTTGAGCATGTATGCACATGTGCCTGGTGTGAATTTTAAGCTGCCAGATCCAAGACTTGAACCATGGTTGACTTACGTGGGAGTCCGGCAAGGTAACCATTATACCATCTGCTGGTCCCTGAAGAACATCTTAATGATCTAGTACTTTTTGCAATTACATGTTTATTGGTCACCCCAACATTCAGTCTAGGTTCAGTCACAGAACTTGTAGATGAATGAAGAGGTTTATCACTTCCCAGAGGCCCTGGGTTCACTGAGGTGGCAGTGCAGAATTAAAACATGGGCACTCTCTCAGGACTGTCTGGGAAGGAGAGAGAAAGGAGACTACAGAGTTGGATCATGTCCCCCCAAAATTTGTCTACCTGGAACCTGTGAATATCAATCTTATTTAGAAAATAGGGTCTTTGCAGATGTAATAAAACTTTTTTTAGAGGTTTTTGCTGTAGGGAGCATGCTCGCCAGATAGAAAGTGAGAAATCAATTCCTCCTCCTCCATTCTCTTCTTGGGATTTTGAGTATACACACACATGTGCCCGGTGTGTTTTAAGCCGCCGGGCTCAGGATTCCAACTGCAGTCAGCTGCATAGGAGTCCAGTGATGTAACTGTTATGCCATCTGCCAGTCCCAACAGATGTGATCAATTTAAATGTGGTCATACTGGAGTATGGTGAATCCTACTCCAGTGGCTGCTGTCTTCATAAGAGCCATATGAAGACACATGGGCGGGTGTGAGGGCAGCATTAGTATAATGGCTATGTCGCTGAACTCCCATGTAGTTGACCGTGGTTCAAGTCCCGGACTCGGTGGCTTAAACTCACGCCAGGCGCGTGTGTGTGCATGCCCAAGATCCCGAGAGGAGAATGGAGAAGACGGGATTGCAGCGTGGCCTTCCGCCCTGGGGGGTGATTTCTCGCTTTCTCTCTCTCTGTCTTTCTGGCAAGCGCACGCCCTAGAGTAAAAAAAAAAAAAAAAAAAACTCTCAGAAAAAGGACACACAGGGGGAAGGGCCTGTGAAGATAGAGGCAGATGGGAGTGGTATGTCTGCAAGCCAAGGAATGCTAGCAGCTGGCAGAACCTGGAAGAAACAAGGATGAGTCTTGTCTAGAGTCCCTTGAGGGAGCATGGAATCTTGGACTTCTGGCCTCCAGAACTGTGAGGAAATACGTTTCTGTTATACCTAGATGTATACTTTGCTCCTGTAGCGCTAGCAAATACAGGCCGGGAGGTTGTGCCTCTTGTTTCTGAGGCTGATCCATAATACCATGAATAGAATTTTTCACACTTCTTTTTTTTTTAAGAATTATTTTATTTAACTTTATTTATTATTATTTAATATTTCCAGAGAGAGACACAC